ACTGCATGTTTGCTTTGTCTGGTCACCATTCAAAGCAGGAATATCTATCATGTAATATCTGGCCGTAAGGGAAGTGACAGTTGAACTGAATCTGTGATGTGATTGTACTCTGCAACTATAATGCAATAACGGCTTCAGCATTAGCATTTTAAATGATACATTACAGCCTTAGACACGCTCACCAAACTCTTACTTGTAAATGTAGCACATGATATCCCTAATAATAGTCTACTTTTTCACTTGGTTTCTTATATTAGGAGGTTCAGAAGTGTTGTGATTTTATACTTTATTGATTTCAGAAGGACAGCACTTATTTCCTTTTTCAAAAGTTCTTTTATTAAACACAGGAATTTCTCCTATAGCATAACAATAATAACACAGCCGGAAAAAAAAAAAACTGTATTTAACAATCATGATTGATGATTGATGATTTTTTTACTTGCTTATAATTGGGGCCAGACATTTTTTTGCTATTTCTGTGGTAAATTTTGTAAAGATTTTGCTGATTTATGGGAAATGATTTTAGGAGTATCATAACTAAAAACTCATATGAAATCACAAATAATAAATTTTTAATTTTTATTAAATGTTTACAATGCAAATCCAATTAGATCCACTTATTTGGTAAACAAAGCAAGTCTCACATATAATAAAATTACTAAAAGACGGAAAATATTACCTTACAAACAGTATTGTAAATAAATTATATGTACCTTTTATTATTACCTATTATCATTATTATATCACAATAGTATTAGTTAAATGAATAGAAAACTGAATAAATATAAATTTACACACATAAATAGACTCAATGATGGCCTATAAATCTGTGGCAATCTGCACACGCAGATTTCGTGTGGACCTACTTATAATTCTCTGCTAATGTTATGCTAATGTATATATTATTAGCCCCTTTTGAATCATTTTTTGTTTTAAAAATATTACCAAATTATGTTTAACAGAGCAAGGAAATTTTTACAGTATGTCTGATAATATTTTTACTTCTGGAGAAAGTGTTATTTGTTTTATTTTGGCTAGAGTAAAAAGCAGTTTTTAATTTTTTAAACACCATTTTAAGGACAAAATTATTAGCCGTTTTAGGCTATTTTTTTCATAGTCTACAGAACAAACCATCATTATACAATAACTTTCCTAATTACCCTATCCTGCTTAGTTAACCTAATTAACCTAGTTAAGCATTGAAATTGAAAAATATCTAGGCAAATATTATTTACTGTCATCATGGCAAAGATAAAATAAATCAGAAATGAATTATTAAAACTAATATGTTTAGAAATGTGCTGAAAAAATCTTCTTTCCGTTAAACAGAAATTGGGGGAAAATAAACGGGGGGCTAATAATTCTGACTTCAACTATATATTTTCAGATACTATATACAATTTAGTGCATTATTAATATTTCATCTGTGACTAAATTATACAATTAAAGATGCAACAACATTTTTTTTTGTCTTTTATCGTAGCTATGCGATCATAAATAAATGTGAGTTAATGTGAGTGATCTTTAATAATAAATACCAGATTACACCAACATATAATGGCCTGGGAGCTTGCAGTCAGAACATATTAGTCACAGCTGGTCTGCTTGTACAGGCCTGCAGTGGAAATCCCACAAAAAGTTCCTCATTGCAAATAACTAAACAAATAAAATAGGTAAAGGTGAGGCTAGGAATGAGGCCAACGGTCCAGAATAGGGTATGTTATTTCAAATGTCATGAGGTTACTGTATGTCAAACACTATATCAACAGCATTCCATCTGATATACTTATCAAAACCTAATACTGGAGATCCATTTGTAGAATTGTTGGTTAATTCATGTTGGTCTTGTCATATTCTTTGGACTGCTCCTTTTTAGTTTAAGTGTGGCCTTGTTGATCCATGTTTGACTGTTGGGAAATGACACTGGGTGTGTGTGGAAACATGTGCATATATGTTGAAAGCAGAATTTCCACATGACTCCTTGACCAAATATAAAAAGTCAGAGTTCAGTCGAACAGACAGAGGACAACAACGGAGAAGAAAAAAACAGAAACAAACACAGGAGGATCATGCATCTTGACATCCTGTTCAGTTTTCTACTTTTGGCTGGTGAGAAATTACAATCTAATTCTCATTGTATAGCAATTTTATTCAGAAACTTATCCTGTAAATGGTGCTAATGAGTAACCAAGCATTACTGTACTGCACAAAATAAGCTTGATTTAAACTGTGTTCTAAAATGTTCATTTAATCCTGTTAGGCTAAATACGGTTTAGGTTTGCTATTTAAGCAAAGTTTATTATTGCTCTGTGTGGGGTGTCAGTAAACATTGCATCTGAATCTCAAATGAATCTCAATGCGTCTCCCTCTTTCAGTGCTAAGCAGCTCATGTGTTGATGCTCAAGGTATGAAATGCAAATGCAAAAAAACAAACTTAAACAATCAGACAAATACAGACAAAACAGGAAGAGCATAACCTTTTATATTTACTTTACAGTGAAATTCGGGCCCCTCTGCAGTGGAAACTCGAGTAACCAAAAAAGAGGATGTGATAAAAATTACGGCTGTGGAAACTTTGGAGCCAGTCGGTAAATTTTGCTTTTGTTTTTGTTTTTATAAATAATATTTCATTTTGCTGAGAACAAAGTTTGCCAAAGACCTTTATTCTGTATAACATAATGAAATGAAACATCAAATAAGATATTTTGCAGACTAATCAAACTGTAGTTGTTTTTCTTCTATACAATAGAGGATAAGTTTGATGTTACTGGTGTCAGATCTAATATTTTGATGCATTACATTATGTTTATATATATCTTAAGAGAAAATTGGATTTGGTTTGGTTTTGATTTTCATTATGTGTGCTCGTACTGCAGTGGGCGACGTACACACATGGGTCTGGACATTGTGTGTACTGATGGAGCCACAGTTTATGCTCCATTTGATGTGAAGATAAACGGCAGAGCTAAACCATATGGAAATAACAATGCCATTGATGATGGGATTAGCTTGAGTGGAGGAGGTTTGTACTTTCATTACATCTGTTATACGTTTAAAAAATAAAATAAATGTAGCAACAATATATTTTAGAAACTCGAATGGTAAAAATTGGTATGCTTATTTTTTTAAATGGGGAAGTAAAACCTCATGAAAATCATAATCTCACAATACTGTCATTTTTTGGCAGGTCTCTGCTTCAAGCTCTTCTACATTAAGCCAGATCGTTTGTCCGGTAATTTGAAGAAAGGGGATAAGATCGGAAGTCTTCTGCCCATGCAGAAAGTTTATCCTGGCATCACTTCCCATGTTCACGTTCAAATGTGTGACAAATCAGATCCAACAAAGTACTTCTGATTGAGCCGATGACCGACTGCCACCATCAAACTTTGCCAACTTCTTTTGTGCCATTTATCAGATTAATTTCTTAAAAAAATCACAGTTATCAAATGCTTTATCAAGTGCTTTGCAATGTAAAAATAAAGTCATTTAATCTAATTGCAGTCTCCGAGAGCACTTACTAAGCCAAAGGTGAAAGTTAAAAGAAACCAAACCGCTATCAAAGTATGTAAATTGAGGGATAAAGAGAAAAATTTATGACACTCCAAAACAAAACATTGCACATTTTACAGCTCTACATTCCATAATGTAAAGCAGACTAATAAGTTATTTTGAATAACTTTGTCATTTAATCATTTAAATCTTTTTGTGTGATTTTGAATGATTTGCATATTACTTCATGAGTCAACAATTTACAGATTTTTAATTTATTTTTATTGTAATATTATGCAAAAGGCACACAAATTGCGATCACATACAAAAAGAAAAAAACAACAAAAAACAAAACAACAAACAACAACAACAAAACAGTCAGGTACTGGCAGGTGTGTGTGTGTGTGTGTGTGTAGGTGTGTGTGCAAGCATGTAAGGTTACTAGATGTACAAGTCAGAGTACATAAATAAGAGAACAAATATATACAAATTTAATTAATTAATTAATTAGGCAGTGGCGCAGTAGGTAGTGCTGTCACCTCACAGCAAGAAGGTCCCTGGGTCGCTGGTTCGAACCTCGGCTCAGTTGGCATTTCTGTGTGGAGTTTGCATGTTCTCCCATGTTCTCTTCGCGTGGGTTTCCTCCGGGTGCTCCGGTTTCCCCCACAGTCCAAAGACATGTGGTACAGGTGAATTGGGTAGACTAAATTGTCCGTAGTGTATGAGTGTGTGTGTGAATGTGTGTGTGAATGTTTCCCAGAGATGGGTTGCGGCTGGAAGGGCATCCGCTGCGTAAAAACTTGCTGGATAAGTTGTTGGTTCATTCCGCTGTGGCGACCCCAGATTAATAAAGGGACTAAGCCGACAAGAAAATGAATGAATGAGTGAAGGCTGATTTAAATAGCTGCTTATAAATGCAATATAACTCTATCCAAAGTCCCCAGCAGTAGTAGAAAGAGCGCTGTAAAATTGTAGTAAAAGGACTATTACTTGCCAAAAGATGTAGTGCAAGTAGAGCAAGTAGAGTCTGTTGTAAATTTACTCAAAGTATGAGTAAAAAGTAACCCTTTCAAAAGTACTCAAGAGTAGTGAGTATGTCCATGTAATTTGTGGATGTGTGTAAACGTAACATTTTGTAGTGCATTTAGTTTTTGCCCAGCAGGCTTTTTAAGGTTTTGCCTATCAGCAATGTCTGATAGATGTCATAGTGGTAACGTCCACACAATGTCAAGCTGTAACAACTTTAGACGTTGATATTTGGTTGATTTTAAGTTGGACATTGGACATTGACTTCGGCCTGACGTTGGGTTCTGATGTCAACCCGATTTTCATTTCCACACAAAATGTAAAGTCCCCATGACGTTGGGTTACAATGTCAATCTGACATCATGTTGACGTCCTGTGCCTGCTGGGTCTTTAAGGCCATTTTGGCCATCATACAATAAACATCCGTTATCTTCTCATCAGTGACATGCATCTAAACATTCTTTGGGTCAATGCGTATGAAGATTTTACACATTTTCTTTTAGACACGTTTAATGCTTCCAAACAGTTTGCTGCAATTATAAATCGCCCATGTCTTGAGGTATTTCATTATGATGCGATTTACTTTCTATGTGTGATTTGATTGGACAGGAATTTTTCTAATCCCCATAAACAAGAAAAAAAAAAATAAAGTAGTGATTGCAGGTTGAAGGAAAGTGAGGAGTAAAAGTAACAAAACTCAGGGTATCTGCGGGATCTTAAAAAGTCTTAAAATGTCTTTAATCTCAAAAGCTAAATTTTAGGCCTTAAAAAGTCTTAAATCTACTGAAATGTTGTGCTGTAGGTCTTAATTTTTTTTGTCTTTAATTATTTTTTTTCAAGTTTAGCCATTCTGGCTATTAATCACCAACAATACCAATCTCAATAATATGTTTAACTTTTAATTAAAAAATAAATAGCATGTAATTACTTTTCCTACAGTAATATTTGCTTAAAAGTTCTCCATTATTTACTGCTGAGGATACTGACCTGACCTACATTTTTATTATTATTAAATTATTATTATTTGACTGAAGTAATTGACAGCTATGCTTTGTTTTATTCTTAGTAAGGGATACAGGGTTTGCGTATTTGTAAATGAATAAAAATATTCAAACAAAATTCATATTATTGTATTATTAAATGTATTACTTTGTAATTATTTTTGATAGGCCAAGAGAAAATCCTTAGCATTAGCCCTGCATAAGTCTAAATTTTAATTTATAATGATCTTAAAAATGTCTTGAAAAGTCTTAAATTTAACTTGGTGAAACCTGCAGAAACCTTGAATACTGAACTAAAATATACTCAAGACAAAGTAAAAGTATACATTATAAAAACTACTTTGTAAATTACAATTTCTAAGGAAAAAACTACTCAATTATAGCAATTTGAGCTATAATAAATTTATTTGTAATTTGTTACTTCACACCACTAGTCTTTAGATACACTTATGCTGAGTTCAGACAGCATGATTTTAGCCCCTATTTTGACTCACAATGTGAAAGCCCCTGTCGCCGATCCATATGGCAGTGTAAACAAAACGCTAGCCCAGATAGTCATGCAGTGTGAAAACATCTGTGACACGACTACTTTGAAAATCATGCAGTCTGAACTCGGCATTACACACTCTTACACAAGACTCTTACACAAGAATATTTGTTAAACTGACCCAATCACAAACAGTCCTTTTGGTTTCATTCTTCCCCTTGTCTATGTGTTTATACTGCCTCTGCATGTTTGCTCTCTTTTAAACGTTGGAATTTCCCCACTAGAATGAAAGTGAAAGCAAAACTGAGAAAAACAGTCTCAATGTGCGTCAGCCAAACAGACGAGAAGGGTGAAACAGACCGAGGACGACAACCGAGAAGAAAGCAATGGAAACAAACACTTACAGGATCATGCGTCTCGACATCCTTTTCTGTTTTCTGGTTTGGGCTGGTGAGAAATAACAGTTTGACCTCATAGTATCAATATTTCTTGTAAACCTGAAACTTATCTTGTATAAATGCTGCTTGTGAGTAACAAAGCATGTAGTGTGCTTCACAAAATAAGCTTAATTTAACGATTTATTGTGTTCTGCAATGTACATTTAATGTTATTAAGTCTATATTACTGTATAAATACTTGTCAAAACATGTCAATTCAAGATTTTCTAGCAAACAGAGCAAGTTTACTATTGCTTTGTGGTGGTGTGTCATTAAAATGCATTGTGAAAAGACTATACAAGTAAATTAACATGCACCATAAACATTGCAAAAGTGATTCAAAAACTGTATGCAAATGAATCTCAATGCATCTCTCTCTTGCAGTGCTCAGCTGCTCATGTGTTAGAGATCGAGGTATGAATGCAAATTAAAAAAAGAAAAGAAACATAAAAACAATTAGACAAATATAAAGATAGAAACAGGAAGCACATAAAACAGAGATGAGTTTTCACACTTTTTTTTTTCCACAGTGAAATTTGGGCCCCTCTGCAGTGGAAACAAAGATAACACGAAAAGAGGATGTGATGTAAACTATGGTTGTGGACACTATGGAGCCAGCCGGTAAATCGTGACTTTTTGTTTATAATGCTTCAATTTGCTGATGACACGTTTAGCAAAACATTCTTATTTTGTATCACAGCTGTTATAACAACACTGAATTAAACGTAAAATAAGATATTTTGCAGAATGCTGTCTCTAACCAACTTTTTACAAGGCATAACAAAGTTTAATATAACTGATATCAGATCTACAGTATTTTGATGATCTGCATTATTTTGGTTGTACTTTATGATCAGTGTTGGGTGTAATTATTTACAAAATCAAAAGTTACTGTAATTAAATAGCTTTTCCACTCAATAACTGCATTTTAGGTAGTTTAATTACAGTTGGTTATAAATGCCTTTGTTCTATATAAACAAAGTAATTGTGATTAATTATGCTGAAGAAATTGTTTTAACTTAATTAGTTTGTGACAATACAAGGTCAATGTTTTAATGTCATCTCTCTCTCTTTCACTTTCTGGATACAATTGAAGTCAGAACTATTAGCCCCCCTGAATTATAAGCTCCCCCACCCCAGTTTAACAGAGATATTTTTCTCTACACGCTTCTAAACATATTAGTTTTAATAACTCATTTCTAATAACTGATTTGTTTTATCTTTGTCATGATGACAGTAAATAATATTTGACTAGATATTTATCATGACACTTCAATACCGCTTCAACTGACATTTCAAGGCTTAACTAGGTTAATTAGGTTAACTAGGCAGGTTAGGGTAATTAGGCAATTTATTGTATAACGATAGTTTGTTCTGTAGACTATTGAAAATATATAGCTTAAAGGGGCTAATAATTTTGGCCTTGAAATGGTTTTACAAAAAAAAAAAAAATGTATGTATGTATGTAAGCATGTATGTATGTATGCATGTATGCATGTATGCATGTATGTATGTATGTACTGTATGTATGTATGTGTGTGAATGTATGTATGTATGCATGCATGCATGTGTACACACAATTCATTTGCTTCTCCTATTGCACATTCATATATTTTTATGGTAAATGTATATAGTATGACGTGAATGTGCTATACATTTGAAATGTCTGGTCTTTTTGATACACATAATGTTTCAAATTTTTGTGTTATTTTTTGTTAACAAAATTAAAGCTCCTATTTGACTCAAATTTAAAGAATTAAAAGTTTAATTTCAGTTGTTTTGTCATTGAAATTGGTCATTTTTTATGCATTGATTCAACCAATCAAATTACTTATTGAGTAACTAAGTTACTTTTCAGTCAAAATACTCAGAAAGGTGTTTTAAATACAATTGTAATGATGCAATTAATTAAAGACTTTTTTGAAGAAACATACACTGATTAAGACTGAGGATAAACTTTAAAACAAAGTTAAGCTGATATACAGTTGAAGACAGAATTATTAGCCCCCCTACCCCCCCGCCCCCCCCCCCCCCAAAAAAATTTTTTTTTCTCCTTTTTAAATATTTCCCAAATGATGTTTAATAGAGCAAGGACATTTTCACAGTATGTCTGATAATATTTTTTCTTTTGGAGAAATTCTTATTAGTTTTATGTTGGCTAGAATAAAAGCAGTTATTAATTTTTTAAAAAACATTTTAAGGTCAAAATGATCAGCCCCTTTAAGCTATATATTTTGTTCGATAGTCAAAATAGTAAAATAGTCAAATATTATTTACTGTCATCATAGCAAAGATAACGTAAATCAGTTAATAGAACAGAGTTATTAAAACTATTATGTTTAGAAATGTGTTGAAAAAAATTTCTCCGTTACACAGAAATTTGGAAAAAAACAATTCAGGGGGGGCTAATAATTCAGACTTTAACTATATATATATATATATATATATATATATATATATATATATATATATATATATATATATATATATATATATATTTATTTATTTATAGTATTGGTGTATTTGATTCATGTTATGTGTACCTATGTTACAGTGGGAGCAGGAAACACATGGGTCTGGACATTGTGTGTACTGACGGAGCCTATGTTTATGCTCCATTCGATGTGAGGATAATCGGCAGAGCTAAACCATATGGAAATAACAATGCCATTGATGATGGGATAACCTTAATGGGTGAAGGTTTGTACTGTCATCACATATATAAGTTAGTCAAATGTTTCACAAAGTTCTTTTAGAGTCTTGATTTCTTTCTTCAAGTAATTCTGCTTAAAATACTTCCTCAAATGACATTTGAAGACTTCATACAAGAAAATCATAATCTTACAATAATGTCATCTGTTTGGCAGGTCTCTGCTTCAAGCTCTTCTACGTACAGCCAGATCTTTTGTCCGGGACCAAATTTAAATATGAAAAGATTGGAAGTCTTCTGCCCATGCAGAAAGTTTATCCTGGCATCACTTCACATGTTCATGTTCAAATGTGTGACAAGTCAGATCCAACAGAGTACTTCTGATGGATCCCATGACCAACTTCCACCATCAAACTTCTGTTGCATTCAACTAAACCAAACGTCAACTTTTTTTGCATTTTGTGTCATTTATCAGATTTAATTCTTTAAACTTACAGAGTTTCAAACTCTTTGTACAGCACTTTGAAACATAACAATAAAGTCATTTAATCTAACTGCAGTCTACGAGAGCACTAAAAACACTGACCACAAACTGTGTGTGACATGTCCATGTCCTGTTTAAATGCATTACCACAGATCCCACTCAATGTTTAACACACATGTGATTCATTGTATCTCTATCAACCACAACTAAGCCAAAATTGAGAGAAACTTTTTGAATTGAAAGAAACTAAATCTTGAGGGGAAAAAAAAATCCATTACAAAACGTTTCTGAGTAAAACGAGTAACCAGTTAATTATTATGATTTTGTCAGTTAATCATTTGAATCAGTTCACAAATTGAACTTTAGTTGTGAAATTGAGCAAACGTGAATTAACAATTTATCGATTTAAATCAAGGCTGCTCAGCTCTGTTCCTGGAGATCTACCTTCCTGCAAAGTTCAGCTGCAACCCTGATCAAACACATCTGAACCATTTAAATAGGACCTGAACAGCACTTAATGATTACTGACATGTGTGTTTGATATGGGTTGCAACTGAAATCTGCAGGAAGGTAGATCTCCTGGAACAGGGTTGAGCACCCCTGATTTAAACGATCCAGTCAGAGCAGGTCTGCAGGAAATCATTCACTGAATTTACAAAGAGATTTAAAATAAGTGAAGAATGTCTCCAAATAAAAAGTATGTGCTTTTAAACTTTCTCTTGAAAATTGAAAAGGAGTACTTTGAGGGCGATAAGAGAGAAGAATATAATTAAAAATAATTTAATTCTTTAGCTCTTAGTCTATTTTAAATTTGTGATCATATAGACTACTAAGTGTCAGTTTATCTGACTTCAAGCTTTTAAATACCACATCATTAAATCCCAGGCTAAATTACAATCGTAAATAAAGAAGTGAATTTGGAAGTTTTCTCATTCACTCCAGCATCCTGATATGTTTCTGAAAGACATTTACCATTGAGTGAAATGTCAATGTTTCTAATATTTCTAAGTACAGTCCTAGTGGTGCTTCATTAGTCCGGTGTAGGTAAATTGATTACTATCTTAACCTTTATTCCGATCCAAATTCGTTAAAAAAATAAATTGTGGGGTTTTTTTTTTTAGGATTGACCACAAGAGGGAGGCAGAGCGCACATACCAGAATCACATTACATGTTTGTCATTGGTAAATCGACTGCTCAGATGATCACATCTGTATGAACAAATATGTCAATCCTGTACTAATACTGTCATGCACTTTCTGTGAAATATCATAAATATAATACATTATAATATATAAATATAAATAAAAGATATGTTTTAGACATAACAATGAACAAACAGATTAATAATAAGAGTAAATAGTTTGATTTCCTAAAACCACACATTTGAATGTAATGTGAACTAAAACATGATCACAATTTTGAAGGTCTGAAGATGTCTTTAAAGTGTAACTTTAATACTGTGTAGCTAAAGACATTTTTAGAATGTATAGTATCATGACAATATGTTTTTTTTTTTCATTTGACCAGTTTAAACGTTCCTTAAATGCAATATACAATTTAAATGTATATTCCTTGACTAAGCTCTTTTCAGAGTTTCAGAGTCCCTCTCATTGTTACAAAGAATATCAGTATATGATTATATATTTAGCTATCAGTTAATAACAAGCACTGTTTTATTTATTTATTTGATGGAATAAGGTTCTACAGTGTATTCATTTCAAAACAACAACAACAACAACAACAGCAACAACAGCAACAACAACAACAACAACAACAACAACAATTTTTTATTTATTTTCCAAATATAACATGACACAGCATCATCAAACTTAATTATGTGCAAATAGTTTTTGTTTCCTTATTGTTCTGGGTTTACAGGATCTTTGGATTAGTAACTCATTTATCTTTTTTAAAAATGAAATCTATTTTATTACACTTGTGTCTTCCTTGATTTGATAAGTTATCTGATATATAATCCTTCCTTTATTTTAAAGCTTTTTATATTGTTTTAAAATAAAAAATATAGTTGAAATTAAATTAGCTTTATAGGTTAAGTTATATAGTTTATCAAATTTAAATATTTTTTTCAATTGTTTCCCAATTGATATATCTTCCAACACATTTTAAACATAAAACCTTTAACATCTAATGAATAACTGATTTCTTTCATCTTTGCCATAATGAAAGAACATCATATTTTACTAGCTATTTTACAAGATACTTGTCTTAAGCATAAAAGTATTTATGAAAATTTAATAGGCTTATAATAGATCATTTAAAGGCTTAACTAGGTTAATTAACTAGACAAGTTGTACAAATTATGCAAATAACCTTTTCAGCAGTGGTTTGCTCTGTAGCAAGGGTGCAAAAACTATTATTAATATAAATAATAGCAGTTTTAAAATTTATTAAGTTTTATAACTAAAAATACTAATAATATTTCTAAACTAGGTGGCGCGGTGGTGCAGTGGAAAGCACTTTCGCCTTACTTGTTTTAGCCTCGGCTGAGTCAGTTGGCATTTTTGTGTGGAGTTTGCATTTTCCCCCCATGTTGGCGTGGGTTTCCTCCATGTGCCCTGGTTTTCCCCACAAGTTTAAAGACATGCGCTAATGTGAATTGGGTAGGCTAAATTGTCCGTACTGTATGTATGTGAATGAGAGTGTATGGACAATTCCCAGTGATGGGTTGCAGCTGGAAGGGCATCCGCTACAAAGAACATATGCTGGACAAGTTGGCGGTTCATTCCGCTGTGGTGACCCCAGATTAATAAAGGGGCTAAGTCGAAAATAAAATTAATGAATCAATGCATTTGTAACCCTAAACTATAACTGCATAACCTAACCCTAACTAAAAGTATTTTCCAGAAGAAAGAAATACTGTGATACAAATCCTTGATCTGTTAAAAATCCCTTTGTATCACAGGCGTTCTAATTATTTAAACTCCAACTGTATATCATCTAAAATATTCAAATGGAAAAAAAGATGGTAGAATTATCTTTTATTGTTCGATTAAATGTTACTGCAGTAATCTTTTACTATATCAAATATGCAGTTTTTGGTTCCGGTCATGCATTTTTATATGAAGCTTTGCAGAGCATGCTAAGCAGAATGAAATAAATAATAATAAAATAATGACTGGATTTAATAAATAAATAGAATATGAAAGAGATTTATTTCAAAATGAAGTGAATATGAATATTGTCAAGTTAAAGATTTCCTTAAGCTAATGCAACTAATTACCACCTCCAATTTAATCACATGCATATTATTCGTTTATCATTCACTTAGTATGTGTGTTTGTCTTCGTCAATAAATTCTTATCTGTTTTATGGAGCTTGTGTCTTGTATTGATAATGCAGTAAAAGACTCTACAAGTTATCTGAATTTTTCTAATCCTTCAGACTTGTCAGATGATAAACTTGATTATATTTATTATCAGGATGAAACACTTTTGTTGCCAAGCCTCTATTAGAAGGAAAAGAAAATAGTTTTATGACACTTTCACCCCCACCTTATGTGACATGTGACCATAACTATTATTAGGTCACACGTGTTAGAACTACTACACACAACATATAAAAACTCACAGCGAAACAGGTCAAACAAACCGAGGACAACAGTAAAGAAGAAACAGCATCTGAAGACAAACACTTACGGGACCATGAGACTTTACATTGCTTTTGGTTTTCTGCTTTTAGCAGGTGAGTGTTAATGCAATTATTAAACAGACATCAGTTTGAAGTGGGCAATGTTCTTTAAAACATCATTGCTTGCATTTCTTTTTCTTAAAACATCTCTGTTTATTTGTTGGGTTTTTATTTTTGACTGTTTAATAATAAAAACATTGAATTATAAGAATTTCTCTGTTTAAATGTTTTATTTAGAGATACAGTTGTTTCATTTTCCACATTTTCTGATATGCGTCAGCCTTAAATTGCCGATTGATTATTAATAATAATACTAATTAATGTCTGTCTATTTTCAGTGCTTTGCAGCTTATGTGTCGATGCTCAAGGTAAGAGATGCAAATAGAGAAAAAGACACAAGCAAATTTACAGTATCAAGTAACAGAGAGATGAGTTCAAAAAAATCTGTTTGTCTTTTCCTTTGGTTCACAGTATTCGGACCCATTTGTGGAGGCTCAAGTAATCGTAAAAGAGGATGTGATTCAAGATATGGCTGTGGACACTATGGAGCAAAGCGGTAATTATCATGCTTTTTATTTCTTCCAGAAAAGTCTAGTTGCTGGGAATGAGCTTTATACAGTGTCTGCAATAATGTTAATGTTGTTTTAAGGATGAAGTTACCCTGATGAAGGCAGTTCCTTGCCGAAATGCATAGTTTTTTTTTTTTTTTTTTTTAATGGATTAGCTATGTGAATAAAGGCTTTTTGTAAATTTTCCACATTTTAAGAGTGTCTTGGAATGACTTTTGCTGTTGTTTTGATGAATCCCTTACTCAAACAGCACAGACAAAATATATACCCCTAAGCGCTTTTTTGTTTGTTTTTAAAGTTTTGTTTCTTTTCACACTAATGATATTTACAGAGACATAATATTGATGACTATTTTTTTGTGTGTGTGAGCAGATCTTTGCACAACACCACATAAAAACCTCAAAACACCTTAACAATATCCATAATTTGTTATTGAACAAATTTACCTCACATTTCTATTCACATTCTATTCTCACTGGGGTTGTTTGCTCAGAAGCTCACTTTGTATGGTGTTGTACTTGTGGTGTATTGGGCTCAGGGTTGAGTCTGTTAAAGCACAGCTCCACAAGATAAAAGCAATGCAAAATCAACACCTTGGTTGGGTTTATGTCAGTGCTTTGCTTGGTAATCTGACGTGAAAGGTCTGGATGCAGACACAATGCAATCTCAGACATATGCAAGGTGAGCATAATGCAATGCTTTTAATGCTAACCCCGCACCTACCCCTCTCAGTGACCTTACTAGCTCAATTGAGTACATTGTGTCTGAGATTGCGTGTCTGAGACAAGGTTATAATAGTTTTAGATTTTTCATTAGTTTTAGTTTCTATTTCGTTTTAAATCTTTGTTTTCAAATTCAGTTAGTTTTTATTAGTTTTTAGAAGCAGATTTACTAGTTTTAATTAGTTTCTATATTTGAAATGAAATTATTTAGTTTTAGTTTAGTTTTTATTAGTTTCCGTACTAATTTTAGTTTGTTTTCTAAATAAGGATATTTGTTAGGTGCAAGATTCAAAATCAACAGAATAAACATTGTATAATAAAAACTCAACCATAATTTTTTTGAAACCTGTATTTAGAGGACACATGAACACTATAATCTACCACTACCATCTACCCATCCTTAAACCCAAATACAGCAGCACACAACAGCAGCCTTAAGTAAAATATGTGTACAAGGCTGCTTCTTAGGTTAGATACACAGCAGTGATGGGAACATCAGATATTTAATGCAGACGTTTGTACTCAACATGGCAAAATACTGTATGTAGTCAGCATAGTAATTTCAGTCAGTTAAAACATCACCATGATCTGAAAAATGTCTTACAGTAAAGTTTTGCCATCCAACTAAAGCATGATTTGCTTATTTAAATTTCATTACGACTTTCTGCTATGAAATAAACTTACGTTTTTTCTCTAAACCCTTTCATTTAATCCCTCGGTTTACCCGCGGTGCCATTGTTCAAGTTTAGTTCAGCCACAGCAGGCTTTCGTGTGCTGTTTGTGTTCGGTTCACTGAATCACGCATGAGCAGTATTATCAGTTCACCGCTTCTCAAATTGATCTCAGTGTAATGTTGCTGTTCTAATAACTGAATTGGATTATTTAGAGTCAGAGGGAGTATTAGGCTTGTTAAAAAGTAAGCAGTTTGTGCTTACTTAAGACGCGAATCGTTTCAAATGATTCAGTTCGATTTAAACCGGTTCACTTAGAAGATCCGATTAAAAAGATGCGTTCGCGATCGCGATACAGAAATAAAACACATTATTGGGCACACGTGTTAAAATAATAGTTTTAAGTCTCTGCATTTAATGCTGTCACCGTGCTGCTGTCATGTTCACTCTTGTTTTTGTTGCGGGAGCAACAACAAGGACTGACTGGAAGAGAGCTGGCACGATGTGGCCAAGGGCTGCAGGATTACAAACTCAGAGGTGCCGTATGGTCAAACACCTGCAGCGCACAGTAAATTGATGTTTTTATTTCAGTTAATGGAAATTATTTTAAATTTTAGTTTTCGTTTTTCATTCGCTTTTGTTAACTATAATAACGTTGGTCTGAGACAGTGTGTATCAGCCTGTATGCAGGTCTGCAGTTCTATTGCTCCACTTTCTTATGAACATGTACACGAAGGATGTATTTTTAAAATATATTACTAAACAGACCCTAAGTAAGGTGTTTCAGATTTGCAAAAATGTCCACAGTGCCCTCTAGTGGAAATGCCATACGAAACATTCAACAAAACATACCTAGTGCAACATATTTTACATTTTGCAAAAATGTAGGCTGAGGCAAGTATTTTAAATGAGCCTGGGCAGAAAAAATGAAATGTTTGGTTTAGTGTGCACTATTCTTATTAGATGTGTTTGTGCTGCAGAGGGAAAGGAAAACACTTGGGTCTTGACATTCTGTGTGGTGATGGAGCCACGGTTTATGCTCCTTTTGATGTGAAGATCAACCGCAGAGCCAGACCATATGGAAACGGCAATGCCATCGATGACGGCATTAACGTGAGCGGAAGAGGTTTGTATTTCTGTGAAGCATAAATAGTGAAGTATAGCAACAATTCCTTCAACATCATTTTGTGTTTGTGCATAATGTGCTTGCTTTATCAAATACAACTTTAATTATAAAACAGGACATGTGGAATTAGATTTCCAAAAGGAAAAGCATAATCTCACAGTAATGTCATCTATTTGGCAGGTCTCTGCTTCAGTCTGTTCTATGTTAAGCCTGACAGTTACTCTGGGACTCTGAAGAAAGGGCAAAGGATTGGTCGCATGCTCCCAATGCAGAGGGTTTATCCTGGAATCCCTTCTCATGTTCACGTTCAAATGTGTGACAGATCAGATCCAACAAAATACTTCTGATGATGAGCAGATGACTGAACCCAACCAACAAAATTTTGATGTTATTTTGACACTATTTTTAAATGTGCTGTACATTTCAGATTAGTTTTAGTTCATTTCATTAATGGTTTTGTTGTTTTTATTTTGTAAATACGTTTCTATTTGCTTTTTGTATATAGTTTCAGTTTTAGTTTCCATTTTATTTCAGTTAGCCAAAACGTTTTTGACCTATTTTAGTCTTAGTTTTCGTTTTTTTTTTTGCTAAAATACAATGCTGGGTTCCACACAATAGATTTGTGTTGGGGCAACATGATGGAATTACAGTTAGAGTCAGAATTATTAGCCCCCAGTATATTTTTCCCTATTTTCTATTAAATGGAATAAAGATTTGTAAACTCATTTCTAAACATACAGTAATAGTTTTAATATTCAAAAAAATATATTACTTAAAGGGGTTAATATCATTGAGCTTAACCCTGTAAAGCCACCTTGTGTGTCCTTACGATGCAATTGGATAGAAACCTACCTCCAATTTTCACATTGAGCTGATCACCTTTTTGCACGTCTGGATTTGTCAAGATTTAAGTAAGAACAATTCCTTAAATATTTTTTGTGGGTTTATCACACATAAATATTTAGTTATTTTAGAAAACATTAATCAAATTTAGTTTAGAGATTATTATGTCTGTGTTGTAATTCTACAACGTTGGGTCAGAGTCGTAGCCTGTTGCATTGTTCAGGACCAAGTGTGAAGAGGGGTCAAAACTACAAGATCTATGCAGACAACTAGTTCACCTGTGTCGCCTGTGCTTTTCAGATGAAAAAAACAAAAAAAACAAAACTGTCTTAGGGACCATCACTGCAAGTAAACACATTCAACACACACTGAATGTGACCACATATTTTTTTTCAAAAAAATCTTACCTAATAAACGCTTATTCATAAAAAATATAATTGTTGTGTGATTATTACTTATGATATACTGCTACGGGGCTAAGTAAGTGAATAACTCTGCAAATGAATGCTAAAATGCTCTGTATACCTGTTTAGACACAGTGAGTACAAATACAGAAATTCTCACAACTATGTCCAACATTGCAATATAACATCATAATATAACATTTCCCTAAAAACTCACCAAAACGTAAAAAAAAATTCATTTCTACATCAGAGGCCTCCTAAACATTAAATTTTAAAATATTTTTTTCTATATTTTGGGTTAAATATATATATATATATATATATATATATATATATATATATATATATATATATATATATATATATATATAGTTTTATTCTAGCCTAAACAAATAAACAAAACAAAAACAATATTATATGAAATAGAGTGCAAAAATGCTCTGTTTTGTAAAAAAAAAAAAAATTGAAAAAATTGAAAACTTTTGCACGGTTAAACATAATTTGGAAAACATTCGAAAAAGAAAAAGAAACAGAGGAGGGCAAATAATTTTGCCTTTAACTGTAAGTTAACTGGGTTTTACAAATGTAAGTGGGTTGAACTTAAAACAATTAAGTTGTCCCCACAAAAACTCAAAAACTGTGTTTTTTTTCAGCTGAATTTAAATAAGTAGTTTGAACATTAGCTAATTTTAAAGGCCCATGAAACCTCGCTGTCTCAGCTTGGTGTTTTTACACCTCCAGTTTGAAAAAAGTGAAAAGTGGTGAGTCCAGCCTTTTTTAAGGTGGGAGTATCGAGTGGTGAAAGAGGGAAGGGTTTGCATGAAAAGGGGAGTTTCTGTTGATGCACGCGTTGATTTTCACAGTGGCAACACAAACACAGACGCAGGAGAGACAACTTTTACATGGACATTAGTATTCAAATGATTTGCCTAAATCTGAATGAGACAGTAATATGATTAAGGTGTTTACAGGAGTTGCTTTTTGAATTTTTGAAACACCCTATGGGTGGAAAAACCCTCCTTATTTCACGGTAGATGCAGAGACTTGGTGGGTGCAGAGAATAGCGTCAAACAGCTGTGTGTATATAGACTATCCTGTCACAAAATGTGGTGAAAATCTTATGCAGTAAAAATCCTACACGACGGTAATAGTTTGATTAAGGTGTTTACATATTTACATTCGGAGAGCAACATTTATAACAGATCTTTCATTCCAAAAAATTGTAGTGATATTAGTATACAGTAAACTAAATCTGTAACTAAATCATTTTGTATAAGGAACGTCTTTTAAAACTGACAGAGTACTGCTGACGATATCTACTTACTTTGCCTCTGAATAAGCATAAAAAAGAACGCTGATCACACACCCAATCTGTAGAGACAGGACAATCAACACCAACTGGAACTGTGTCTTTTTCTAAAAGTAGATGAGTGGCAAAATCCGTATTTCACCATTTCCAGATGCGAAAAGCTACCGGATAAAAAATGTGCCTTACAAACATATTTTTGTCATGTGTTAGCAGAGCACTGTAATCTGCAGTCAAATAAATGTGGGTCCAAATGCAGCGGTGCTTTCATTGCGAGAAAATGGAAACAAAACCTTCATTGTGTCACATTTATAAACGCAACACCGATGACCCATGTCTCTGAACAATTCTTCTTCTTCCATGTGTTTTAATTACGCTTGGCAACACAACTTGGTGTCTTTCTGCCATCTGAACACTGGAACAGGTAAAAACTATCTTTGAAGCTATCATGCATATTAATGTAGTTGCATCTCGTTCACAATAGAGCACGCTGATTGGTTCAAACTAAGTCTCATTAATAATGCTGAAAACTCAAAGATGTCATGTTGTACTCACCAATCTACATGCAGAAATTTACAAAAGGATCTCATGGCCATGACATTGATTAAAAAAAATATTTTCAAACCGGAAGAAATAATGCAAAATCAACCAATTTACACTTGTTAGCTAAATATATGTGTCCCAATAGTTTTTTTTAGCAACATGGCACATATATATGACTGTCAACATCTCAAAAAATGTGTTTTGGTGTTTCTTGACCCTTTAAGTGTAACCTTGCTCAGCACATTGCAACTATGAAGACTGTTATGTTCTCAGTGTTAAATTTGTTAAATAGTAACATTACACTAGTATTAAAAAAACAGGCCTGCTCTGGCTTATTTACAAAGAAACACAAAACAGTGTCCGCTAATTACGCTGGAGTTGTACACAATGATAATTAGAGAAGTGAAGTCAAATAAATCATCTGACACTGGAATCTGTCGAGTGGCTATGTGCTCTAATGAGTGTTCATGTTCAGTTTGAGCCGACCTGCTTTTATTTTTTATGTCCTTTTGTGTGCTGCTCTGACCTCCGTTCTTGGCTTTTTGTAGCAACCATTAATTACACATTTAGCTGAAGTCCATTTGTGTATGTCAGTGCAGAAAAGCAGAGAGATATTCTAATAGTCTCTTAGAGAAGCGTTGATACAATGAAGCAGAGCATTGACTACAAACCGTATGCTGCAATTTCTTGTTTGGATCTAAAGATGGCATACATGTAATGAACATTTGGCTAAAATATAATATGTATAATAATACAATCTAGTGATGAAATGAAATTTGAATAAAAAAAAAAACTCATTCAATGATACTGCTTTCTAAATTTTTATTTTTATTTTTATTTGACCCAATAGACTAAAAACCTAAAAATACTGTTGCATGGGTACAGCCAAAAATACATTGTATAATTCAAACTTATTGGTTTTCATGTTCCATTCATAGGTTCTATTAAGATATTTTGTACATTTCCTACTGCAAATATATCAAACCTTACTTTTTGTATAGGAATATGAGCAGCTAGGAGTTTTTTTTTGTACACTGTATAAAATACATGGTTAGCTTAAATTTATTTTTTTTACTTTACATATAGAAGTTTTTATGAAAATATAACAACAAATAGTGTACATCATTTATATATGTTAACAAAATTATCTCAGTGTTATTACCTGATGCCAACTAGAACAGGGATGGGCAAACTTGATCCTCGAGGGCCACTGTCCCTGCAGAGTTTTGTTCCAACACTAGTCAAACACACCCGAAAAAACTAATCAGTGTCTTCAAGATCACTTGAACTCTATAATGAGGTCTGTTTGAATAGGGTTGGAGCTAAACTATGCAGGACACTGGCCCTCCAGGATCAAGTTTGCCCACATTTGAACTAGAACATGCACCAAAAACACTAGCAAACAATACAGCAATTATACGGCGCCATAAAAAATCTCTGCCAGACCAATGAATTTAAGAAACATAATAGAATGACATGTAAAAAGTAAAAAAAATAAAAATAAATACAGAAAAAAATTACAAAGACATTGCTAACATATACATCTAAGGAAAGGGAATCATACTTTCTGTTTGCCAAATGTAGAGAAACCTTCCATTTTTAAACTGATCCAAATGAACCTTTTGGATGATTTTAACGTAAATAATATAAACCAAACTTAAAACAAACTGAATAACAAAAACAGTCAGAAACACAATGAAATTGTTTAAATAACATAAAAACATATGTTGCCATGACTAGATAATTCACATAATTTGTGTTTTTGAAAGCTCAGATTTGTGATTTATTAGTTGTATATTAGCCAAATATTGTTCTAACAAACTATACAACAATGGAAAGCTTATTTATTCATGCATAGATCTCAATATCCGAATATCTCAGTGTCATTCATTCATCAATCTATTTCAGAAGTCACCACAGCAGAATGAACTGACCAATATATTCCAGTATATGTTTTGCACAGTGGATGCCCTTCTAGCTGCAACCCAGCATTGGGAAACACCCAAACACCCTTACATTCACACTCATACACTACGTCCAATTAAGTTTATTCAATACACCTTTACCGCATGTCTTTGGACTTGTGGGGGAAACAGGAGCAACTAGAGGAAACCTACATAAACACTGGGAGAACATGCAAACTCCACACAGAAACGCCAACGGTACCAGCCGGACGTTCTTACTGTGAAGCGATTGTGCTACCCACTGTGCCACCGTGCTGCATCTAACCACTATCTCAGTGTGTATAGCTATTAATATATTGTTAATAAAAAAAACAAAACACTTAAACTTAACATTTTTTATTTTTTACTTTCTGATGAAGCTTTTAAAGCTTTTAAAGTTGATTCAACTTAAATCGAGTCAATCCAGAATGATCTGAAAGTTGAAAAAACTAAAGAAAATCATGTTGCCTTACAATTTTTAGTTAAATCAACTTTTTGTTTAACAGTGTTTCAAAAAAGACCATTATGACTGGTTTTTTTAATGCTGTGTGATTAGTAGAAGAAAGAAAAAGTGAGTTGGAACAAGTGGAGGACAAGCAAATTATGACACACATTTGGGTGAACTATCCCTTTAGGTTTTTATTTTCTTAGGAGTCCTCATACTGAATACTGTAAAACTACAGATAAGTGCATAGTAATAAAAACTTCTTGAATTGCAGATAAGCCTAGTAATGGTTTCCATTAGTCACAGATAGGTAATTGGCTCACTTATAACATGAAATATCATGTTCAAAATTCAGTGTAAATTAAGTAGTGGGTTTTGTGGTATTAGAGTCGGCCACAAGAGGGAAGCAGAGTACATACAGAGTACATTGTGCCAGGAATTATTATTAAAATATTATATGCTCTGATAAGCAGCTTAAAAAACATTTTGTGAAGTTTTTTTCTATTTTTATTTATTTATTTTATTCCTGAGCACGTAGCATCATTTAAGTAGTGGTAGTAGTAGTAGTATGGTAGTAGTAGTAGTAATAATAATAATATTAATAATAATAATAATAATGATAAAATCACTATATAACACAATATACAGGGCTGTATATAAATCCCCACAATTGTATAAAATAATAATTCCAGAAGGAAGATTTTTTGTGTGTGTGTGTGTGTGTGTGAGCAGTTTTGTGATAATATTTGA